AGAAATAAACACTTTTTAACTTGGAAAAAGTTGTCCGTTTAAAAATTCAAGTGCAATTCCTACTTAACAGTAAGATAGGGAAAATGTTGAAACGAGTGTTGAGGGGTGAGTACCCTTAGCACTCCCCATGTTCCACTTTTATTTTTACACCATTTAAATAAATGAGTTTTTAAAACATTGTTTCGGTTCCTCTATGTAATTGTGAGGAAGCTAATGTCTCTCTTTTGCTCTGCAGTTCATAATTGAGACTAAAGATCAAATAGTTTATAAGCATTTATATCTTTTCAAGTAGTTGAATAATAAAATGAGCTTGTAATCAAAGTACTAGCTGCGTGAGTTCTGATGGTGGTATGGACAGAGTAACCCTGTTGAAGAAGCTTCATTATCAACCATGATGCAATGAAGCCAGTACCATCCGTCACACACACCTTTCCTTTCTCTCCTTCCATCTTTAATTCCTAAGTCCCTGGTGAGGGCAACCACAAGAAATTTTTGCTTACCGCGGACTATGTATAGAGTAACCCCGTTATTGTGTTCGTGTGAAGGTAACTTGATGGAATAGACTAAATTGTGATTGAAATGATAGTCTGTAAACCAAAAAAAAAAAAGATCATTCATTGAATCAAGCTGGAGTCACTGTCCACTATCACGCCAACAGCAGACTTTCTTGAAGCCAACTAAGTTTTTCCATGGTCAACTGCCCCACCAGCAGACTTTGTTGAAGCCAACTAAAGTCTTTTTTCATTGTCGATTGTCACACCATGAGTTATCCTACTGTATAATTTATCATCATACATGTGTATATATATATATATAAACTTTCACACGCTCTTGTGTTGGTATGTATATTTAAAAAAATTAAAGTTTTTTTTTTTTTTTTATGTTAGATACAAAACTCAAACACATATAAGTAGAGAGAATATCATATCAAAGGTAGAGAGTAAAAAGTAAAAAACTTACATATGTAAAAAGCTATTAGTTGAACATGTTAGTTTTTTTGGGTTTAAAATAGTGTTCACATGTAAGACCCCTATTTTAGTGTTGATGCTAATTCAATTGTTCAACCCAACAACTTGAGTAGTAATTAGTGGGAATGGCAATGGGTCCCTGTCCTCATCCTCATCATTGGTGAATATGAGAATTCCCATTGGAATTTTTGGTGGAGGGCAAAAAATGCCCTTTATCCCCATCCCTATGAGGAATGAGGGGTCTCCACGAGAAATGAGGGGTCCCCATGAGTATGGAGAATCTTTGCAAAAGTATACAAACATTTTTTTTAGTTATATACAAAAATATTTTGATTCATTCAATTTTTAACTTAGAAGGATATGTTTTGCAAAAGAGAAGTTAGGGTTTATTAATGAAAATATTCCTATGGATTTTTAATTATATCTTGACTAATCTCACATGTAAAGGGTTAATTATAAACGAAGAATTTAGAAAGAAGGAAGATGATTTATGAAGAGAGAATTGAAAAAAAAAAAATGGAGAATTTAGGGTTTTTTATTTTTCATGCAAAAAAAGTGATGTGAAGGGGTGTTATTAAATCCACGTAAGCACCTTTACATGATAGAATATCCACATTAGATGTTTCCGTTAAAATAATGTGCCACGTGAGCAAAAATTGATGGAGAGACCAAAAATGAGCCGGATTTTAAACTTTAAGGACCAAAAAGGAGATTTTTTCAATACAGGAACCAAAAAGTGGGCTTTTTCAATAGTAGAGAAACCAAAAAGGGTATTTACCCTTTTATGTTTTGAATTTAGCTTTTCATTAAGTATTCTAAAGTTTGTTTTCTTTAATATTTCTTACTTCTACCACTTTCACATGTTTTTTGCAAGGGAGGATTTAAGCAACTCTTAGGACTTCTTTACATTTTAAGGATGCTTTTACTAAAATGGAAGTTTATAAAATTTCAAATTTTAGTGTTTCTTTGAACGAAGATCCTTCTAAACCAACCACCCATGCATACAAGATTGTTTTTAATTCTAGGATTGCTCAGAGTTTGGTTAATGACTCCAACATTCCTAATTAAGCACTTTCTTTTAGTAAGTTTGATAAGATTTTGAATCAAACTCAAGAGTATGCCTTTTTAGTTGGTATATTTATTACAGAATAATTTCATTATATTTTTATTTGTTTTAATTTATTCAATTGCACTATTGGTTTAATTTGCTTTCTACATTGAGTGATTTGCTTCTTTGTAGATGATTTGGGTTGTTATCAGTGATACTTGAATGGAAGAAAGTGATAAAAAATGGTTATTCATTGAATATGATTTCATTTGAACTTGATGATCTAAGGTATGTTTTAATTTATTAGTTTCCCATTAAATTTCTTTCAATTTATTTATTTTTCTTCTTTCTTTCAAATAATGATAATAAGCTCTGTTGCAAACCTTTGGGAAAATTTAGTTAATAAAAAGTGTTTAGTGATCGACAAAAACTCCAATGAACCTGTTACCTTTGTCATTCAATTTGCAAAGATGAAATCATGGAGAGGTTTTACTCTTCTTTTTTAATTATTAATTTTAGTGTTTTCTTTAGATTTTACTCTTCTTTATTTGTTATTATGCCTTCCATTCTGTAAATTGTATTGTTGTGTTGTTGTTTCAGATTTTATTGGCCCCTATGATTGAAGGGAGCTGGATATGTTGATCCATGTTTCAAAGGGGAGAAAGGAGTGCTATATTGGCTGGTTCGACTCTAGGTTTATTTAGCTTTCAGTTTTTAGTGAGGGGGAAGCTTCCATCTAATGAATTTTTTTAGCATACAGATGAGATGAGTATGGTTAAATGGATGAGAAACATCATGACTTCTAAAAGTCCCACTCAAGCAATTAATCCAAAACTAATCATAAATGGGTAGGAAGAGCAAATGCTTTTGGTTCTAAAAATTGTTTTCTCCTGCAAGCTTCGGATAGTCCAAAGGAAAGGCTTGGCGGTAAGGATGTTAGTTGTATGTTGTCTTAGATCAAGCAGTAGGTATGCAGTTAAGGAGATGTATCAGTACCATTCAAGAATAATTATATCTAAGAAAATTAAATAATGTGTTGAAATCTATCCTTTAATGTTGTGTTTGCATGTGACCCAGCTATTGATGCGCTTGGTGGCTTTCTATTTCAATGGTGGTCTGTTTTTGGGACATTCATTACTAGGACAAATGAGAAGCACTCTGAAGTTATTGCATCTTACATTGAGGTCTGTTTTAAGAATAATTAATTTGAAGCTGTTGCATTCATTGAATGATTGTTGGTTTATTTCTTTTCATGAATTCTCAAAATTTCTATGGAGTTTCATAAGTGCTTTGCATATGCAGGTGCTTGGCTGATGAGACTGCAGTCCTTTTACTTTATTCATTGGTGCAAGGAAACTCTGATTTTTTGGAATATGTTCTCGTGCGAACTGATGTGGATAGCTTGGTAAGTAGTAACTTCTACTATTTGCTAAAAAAAAAAACACTTTTGTTTGATTGAAGAGCCTTAAGCAATTCCATTTTGATTTAACAAAGTGCTTTCAGGTCCATTTGCATAATTTTTTTTTTTTGTTGGCCATTAAGGTAGCCTTTTCAAACCAGTTATCCTCTATGAGTTTAATTAATGCTTAAAACTTTTAAGCCTTTTTGGCTAAGTTCCTAGTTAATAATGCTAATTTTTTTTAGGGTTCCTTGCCATATAAACCACCTCCACCACTTGCAGCTTCGCCCCCCATTAAAAGAAATGAAAGACATCCAACAGTAACTTATGTCAAATTATGATTTGATCTTGCTTTGAGCTTTGTTTTCATGCTACAATATTGTTTTACATAAGATATCAGTTCATTTTACTTTGATTTTGGCACATAACGCTTTAGCTTAATTCAGTTCATACTTCTCTTCAATAAATTTATCACTTATGCAATATTTAATATGAATGTGGCATACTTGCCGCATAGCCTAATACCAACATGTGTTTCTATGATGAAATCAATGATGCCTATTCTGGAATCACCACATAATGCTTCAAGAGGGACATGTAATCAAATATACATGCTATTGACTATGCTTCTCATACTTAGTTAAGATTCTTCTTTTAATAGGAAAAAGAGGTTGTGGAGAAGTCTACAAGGCTGAATTGCCAAGAAGCAATGGAAAGATGATTGCCATAAAGAACATTATTCAACCCTCAAAGGAAGCGACTGAGTTGACTGAAGAAGATAGCAAGCTTCTAGACAAGAAGATGCAACAAATCTGATTAGCAATTGCCATAGTTGGCCAAATTTAGCACAGAAATTTTCTTCCTCTTCTGGTTCATGTTGGTTGTCTTGCCAAGATGAATCCCTTGCCAAGTAGGTATCCAATCATTGTTAGTGCCTTATGCTGATTCTTCTGTGTTTTGTTTCACCATGTGTTACCAGTGTTAATTGGAAAGTTATTTATTGAGGAAGTTTCAGGCCAAGTGCTTTATTTAAATATTTATTTCTTCCTTCAAGTTACATGCTTCTAGGAAAAGAATGTTTTTTTTTTTTTTTACATACGACTAAAGCCTTTTGCCATTTTATGTGTTTTAGGTTGTCATTTCCTAGATGAATGGACTAGATGATTAGTCGCAGCTTACCCATGTTTTTAATGGGTGAAAAATGAGAACAAAACTCTATAGAGTCTGGATCGCTAAGTTTAGACAAATTTATTCCACATCTATGCAGGTACTATCCTGCATGCGCCATGCTTTTCTTGTATAAGGTCTTTTTCAAGTTTAAGGGAATTTTGGGCCTCCTCGATTCCATGGTTAGTTTTTGTGAAAATTTTTAAACTTCAATGAACAAAAATTCTTATATTTTATGGTTTCCTCAATATTAGCTACGTAGAGTTAGAGGTGATGGTAGTATTGCATCAAAGTCATTGTTCTAGCAACCCAAAAAGGGGCTTTCATATGTATTGACATTTGAATCAAAGGGAGAAAGGAATGTAGTCATTATGATTGCAAGAAAATATGCTCTTGATTGCAATGTAAGTTCTTTCTCTTTCTTGGCATATTACTACAGTGCTTATATGCTCTCATAACTTTCTAAAACTTCCAATATTATTACAAAAATTTGATCTTTCACACGGTCTCTTCTTTGTTCTGCACAAAACATGTAAATATATAGGGAAAATCAGGAGCTTTGCCTACTTAGCTCTGCACAACTTGATTAGAAGCCTTTATTCCCTTTGTATCCCTCGAGTGATGGTCATTGCTCTTCATCTTAGAAGACTATGGTTTCGAGCATCAAGAGAGGATTCTCTAATGCAATGTATGGGTTTTCAAAGGTGAAACTACCTTTTGTTAAATGGTTTGCATTAGATTGTATTTTTTTAGAGGTTTAATTTGAAAATGGAAACTATGTGGTGCAGGGAAAAATGCTTTCCAACTAAGAAGTAAATGTGATGCTCTCACCTAGGCCATATTCGAACTTGGGATTGAAATCAGGTTCTATGCTTGAAAACCTTGTATCTCAACCAACAAAAGCAAAAAGAGATAGTAATTCAAAACGGTTATTAAAAGTTAATTTTCTGCTGTAACATCTTATGCTTTCTACAAGAGTATTCCTCACTAGGAAAGTAATAGATGTAAATGGATTTGGAGATCATTAACAACTCCAAAAATCCAACACTTTCAATGGCTTCTATCCCACCAAAGATTAAGTGCTTTGATTTCTTGAACAATTAAATATATATGTATTGTTGACATCATGAGGATTGAATTCCCTTAAACTCATTGATCTATTTTCCTTTTAAGTAATGATATGGTATCATTTTACTATTAATTAATGGTAAAAAGAAATTATTATCTAATTATTAACTTTTTATTAATATATTCATTATTAAATATTAATTTTTTATTTTTTTTATTTTTTTATTTCACGGACTTGGGCATTGCCCGGGGTATTAACTAGTTAAACAAAAAGGTGAAGTAAGGAGAAATTAAGGTAGTAGAGAGAAGAGATGTGATAGTCAAAGTATTTGTAACTAAAATTTATGGGTTTAAGAATTGAGATACTTGAGTTTATTATAATTTATAATATTCTATTAATTTACAACTTTCCATGAGGATCTGTGGGATAGAAGAAATTCTCTAAAAAATTTTATGAGAAAAATCAACTTCATTCTCTTTTTATGAAAAAAATATTCTAAAAATCTTTATTCCATCAACAAAATTCTCATAAGATTTCACGAGTCATAGAAGAAGTTACCATCCCTAATAATTAGTACTAGTTAGTCCCTCATTGTGTTGTATCTATGATTTTGATGATTACAAAACACATTTGAGTGACTAATTGGTTTATTTTAGTGTGTAGTTAAGTTGTTAAAAGATTGCAAGTAAACTTGGATTGCACTAAAAATAGACCAAAAGGATTCAAAATGTGCAGAGAGCCAACTCTTAAAAGCTGCAGCCGGCTCTGGTGAAATGGAAGTGTAGAGAGTCGGCTTTACGGGCAAAAATTTGAAGACCGTTGTTTGGCGCGCGCGGAGAAAAGTCGCAAAGCCGGCTCCGACTTTGCAGCCGGCTGTGAGAGTGCATTTAATGCATAGCGGTCAACTCTTTTGAAGAGTATTTAATGTATTTAAAGTCGGAGTTCCAAAGCCAGCTCAAAGTTTTGCAGCTGGCTCTCAAGGAAAACAGAATGTACAAGAATCCCGCAAAGCCGGCTGCAGAAATGGTGAACCATTTGTGAAGAGCCGGCTCTAGGAAGTTAAGCCGGCTCTCCTGACAGTTCTGCAACTCGAGCCATGCGTCCTGTAGAGCATTTAATGACCCCCAACGGCTAGAAACGACTATTTTCGAGCAAGAGGATATAAATATGATTGGTAACAGATATGAACAAGTTTAGAGAGCATTGTATTGAATATATTTACCTACCAACTTGTGCTTTAACTTGAGATTTTGATATTTGAGAGATCTTTATTTGTAATCCTCTTCTTGTTCTATTTGTGAGTAATCTTTGGGGTGTGACTATTCCTTCAAGAGTGATTTGTAGAGAGGATTGTTTGGGTTTATTTTGTAAAGGGGTGAGATTTGAGAGAAACACCCTTATTCTTGTAAAAGGATCGAGTGGCTCCTTTAAGCCACCCTTGTTGTTGTTAGTGGAGAGTGTGGAGGAAATCCTTGGTGAGTGAAGCCAAGGTAGAGGACTAGGCTCTAAGTGGTTGGACCGAACCTCTATAAATCATTGAGCAAGCTCTTCTTCTCTACTCTCTTTAATTTGGGTGTTGTGGTTGCAAAAAGGGGAGAATTTTTGGAACTCCAATTCACCCCCCCTCTTGGAGTACATTGAGTCAACACATTGGCGCTAGATCATGTGTATATTTGGTAGGAAATTAAATATATATGTATATTTTTAGGATTCCCTAGAACTATTTCATTAGCCTCTGTTTAACATTGTTTTTCCCACATTTTTTCCATTCTTTTAAATATGGTTAAATGTCAATTTTGGTCCCCTCAACTTTAGAGTTTTACATAATTTT